CCAAAACAAGAGACAAAAACCACCCACCAATGCACATGCCACTGGACAACCACCACCAACAAGAAAACATATAACTGAAGAATTCCCAGAAAACAAATTGGTAACTGATAAAACTAGAGCCACAGAATACAGATTAACAAAAAATCAACCTACTAAAAACCTAACACTAAAATACTAAATAACAAACTACTCCAGCTCCTCATAAAACCACGAAAAACCTTAAGACCAAAGCCATAACCCTCCACAACCCCTAACAGTCACTCACCAAACTCAAACGAATCTGGAGACACTAAATCCTAGAGCACAGCACTCGCGAAACCAATATCATTGACGAATTCGACCCTAGAGCCAACTCAACTTCTATTCATAAGAAAGTACACACACAGAACTCACATATTAACCCACTATCTGCCAAAAGCCTACCCAAAGAATAGATATTGGTAGAATATCCCTAAACAACGAAACAGATACCGAAGAAACCTTAAACATTCTCACTCATACATAATTTTGCAATCGAGCAATAGACTAGTTCGCTATGGCATTCACACAAACAGCGATGAAGCAATATAAACATTCACAAACTGACTTCCGAAACTGATAGAAACCCACATAGTATTTCCAAACTTTGAAACAAATATCATAAGCAAACCAAATCTTAAGCACGAAACAACAATCACTAGGAAACAGGAATATACTCACTTCTAGAGGAGAAATAATCATAGACTAGTTCGCTATGGCATTCACACAAACAGCGATGAAGCAATATAAACATTCACAAACTGACTTCCGAAACTGATAGAAACCCACATAGTATTTCAAACTTTGAAACAAATATCATAAGCAAACCAAATCTTAAGCACGAAACAACAATCACTAGGAAACAGGAATATACTCACTTCTAGAGGAGAAATAATCAATCTCACCAAGCTATAAGAGAACACCTGATCAGACGAGAAGCAACTTAGGGGACGAAAGCCAACGAACCTTCATCCCCACAAATACCCGAGCTTGTCCGATCAACCCATGATCTAAGAACATAACAAAAGAATCAACGTCACTGTGTTGGGCTTTTGAGATCTTGAGAGAAGCGGTCGCAGGAGAGCGTGAAGCAGCAAGGACGGAGGTTGTGGAGGCGGCACCGCCTCGCGAAAGAGGCGGCCACTGCCTCACTGGAAATCTCTCTCTCTCTCGAAAGGTTGAGTTAGTTAGGAGATCTTGTTAGAATGTATATGATTCTCTTTCACTAATTAAATTAAGACGTTATCTCTATTTATAAAATCAAATACTTGATCACCAAGAATTCTTAATTCATAAGGATTATTGCCTAAAACAATTACAATAAAATCCAATTTAATTACTAATTATAATTTAGGTCAAAATATAACACTTATCTATAAATATATATTATATTGTATTTACACTAAATTAATAAATAAAAACTTGAAGAAGGCTTCATATTTCAGCGGGGGTTATGTTCGAACCCTACATAAATAACCCGAAATCAAACAACATTACATAATTTTAAAACAACTAAGGTAACATCAACAATTCAATTCACTGCTGGTGCTGCTACCGGAGCATGGCATGAGGGTCTCATAGTAACCCAAGCTAACCGCTATGAGCCCGAATTGAGAGTTGTTCTGCAAGTGGTGCATCAGCCTATTAGCGTTTTCTTCGGATTCCATGTCAACACAAAGGAGACCGCCAAACTCGTAGCCCTTATTGGCCATGGAATTCAATAGCTGGTGTTGAGGGTGGTCCTCAAGGCCAGGATAGATGACCCGGAGACCAAATTCCTTCATTTGAATAGCGTATTCCATGGCTCTACGGCAATGCTCCTTCATCCTCAGGCTTAAATGAGGAATCCTTTCGAAGAGCTCAAAGGCGACCTTGGCGTTCATGGTCGGGCCTAGAAGCATCAAAGCACCTTGATGAAGGTCCATCATGGAGTTCACCAGGCTTGCAGGACCGCAAACAGCACCTGCAATTTTTGGGCTAAATCCAAGCCCAATTTCTCTTATTTTTGGGTCAAGGCTTCCTACAAGCCAAGGAACTTACCTAAGGCCCATCTCGGGTTAGCCCAACCTCCTAATCCGGGATCCAGGGTGTTACATCAGTGGTTAGGGGAGTGACGTTCTGTAACACCCTCAACCCGTATCCGACCCGAATACGAGTTTGAGGTGTCACATTGACTTTTCAAACTTTGACTCTTGACAAAATTCAAAGAAAATTTAAAACTTTCATTAAAATAAAACTGTGTATTTATATAAATTGACCAAAATAACCAAAATCGATTAGAGCATATTCAACTCAATCAATTAGTACAAGCCAACTATGTTCAGATTAACCAAACACATTTAAATCATTTATTTTCTGATCTGAAACTTTGTAAGGAAAATGCTGACCTGTCTTGCTCCTCTAAACTTCTCTTCTTGCTTTCCAGAACCTACGTGTGAAACACTCACACGCTAAGTCTATGACTTAGTGAGGCATTAAACACATTAAAGTAACTTTAACTACTTAATCATGCATGAACATATCATATCATGCTATCACACAAAACAATATAGCATTTCATGTAATCAAATGTACACATATACACATCATCATATCAATCATATAATACAATTCATATCACAAAAGCATATACTTTACACGTAATATCTATGTTTATTTTTATCTCTTTGTTAGCCCATGTACATCTGTGAGAACTGTAGATATGTGAGTCTATTGAGGTTGTGCACTATGTTGTCACCACAGCTCGTATGGGGTCCCACTAGGGGCTATGAGATTTGTCCCGAATGACCTATGTACTGTATTTGTCCCGAAGGACCACTCTTAAGAACCATACATATTTCAATGGATCACATATGTGTCTCATAAGACCCTGTAAATGTTCCAAAGAATACATATATGTCCTGAAGGACCACGTAGAACCCTCGACTCTTGGCATGCCAACTATACCTCTAGCTCTCTTTACACATAACATGGGCATTAGCAATCTATCATGTCACATATTCACATGAACACTTTCATATCACGTCATATAAGCTCATAGCTTATTTCACATATACATGTAGTCACATAGCTTCTTTTCATATTCTCATAAGATTACATAGCTTATATCTTATACTTTGTTTTCTCATGTTCACATATATCCTGTCATATGGATGGCTCATATATATACATCATATAGCACATACTTCTCAAATCATTACATTCAAAAGCATGTTAACACATATAATCATGCATACATACAATTTATGTCATGCATATACATATAATCATATATTCATGCATTCAACATAGGAAATAGACTTGTCACAAGTCTTGTTTCCATTTAACACCATAAACAAATTAATATGCACTTACCTGAGCCTCACTAAGTTCCAATCCACTTTTGTGATTTTTCCTTTCTTTCGATCAAATCTTAACTTGGTGATCGTTCTGGAACTTGTTCGTGTTCGATATCTACATAATCACATATTGATACATATCAATATCCAATTGATATACTATAATCTATCATTTCTTAGACTAAAAAAATGTCTATTTCAATTTCCCCTTGAAGTGCATCGATGCGTTCTTTAACATGTGCATCGATGCACTACCCATGCATCGATACACAAATTACCTTCGATGTTTTCATTTTAAGGGGATGCATCGATGCACTCCTTATGCATCGATGCACCAATTGCATTCGATGTTTCTTCTTTAAAGAGTGCATCGATGCACATTGAATATGCATCGATACACATTGCCCAAAATTTGTATTCTAGCACGAAAATCATCAACTCTTCCCTTAATTCTTCTATTTTAAGCCTCTAATATGTCATTAAACTCAACTACCATTACTTAAACCAACTTATATCCATGTAAATCATCTTTAACCTCAAAATCCTATATTCCTTATGAAATTCAAGAATCATACTCAATTTCTAACATGTTCCAAATTCCATTCAATTGCTTCTAACTTCTTAATTAGACCATTGACAAGTCAAATTCATCCTTGGAACTTCAAAAACCTTTTTATAATAAAAGTTCATTTATAAACCCTTAATAGAAATTCCTTTCTAATTCTCTCTCTTTGGTGTTTTAAACTTATATAAGTTTTCCTTAAGCTTATATAACCCCAAAGACTCAAATCCAACTTAAAACTTTCAAGAAATCAACAGCTAAATCAAACTTACCTTTGCTCTTGGCTTCCACGTGAAGAAGAAGAAGAAAGGAGAAGAGAACTCTGGAGAATTCTCTCCCTTTCCACGTGTATTTATCCTACCAATCCCATTTTTAATTCATTTCTTGGTCAATTGACCCTTTTGCCCTTTATTTCCTTTAATAATTACTAAATAACCTTCATCATATATATCCAATAATCATTGCACTATTTCATTCTTCTACTTTAGTCACCAAATTCTGAAACTTTACAATTTGGTCACTAACCCGGTATTGCGGATGTTACACGTTCTCCATAAAAAACCTGAGTTTGAATTACTGCGTCTGCAAGATGTGTGCGCGTTGTTAATGACTAAAATAAATTATGAACATATATTATCTTATAATCACATACTATTCAAAAAAAATCATACGGTGTATTTTAGCATGAGACAGAAAGATGCCACTGAAGAGAAAGTTTCATGTCATTTTCACAACTAATGCATGAATACTGAGTGAGATTCAAAAGATTGTGGGCAATTTGTCACACCCCGAACCAAAGTTTCTTTATGGCATCTAAAATTACCCTAATCTAAAGATAGATTTGTGGGAACAAACAAAGGGGTTGACAATCAATGGATGAATCGAGAGAGATCCAAAAGGTTATTTGTAAATTGTCACACCCAGAACTAAAATTATTGGCTAATGAACTTTGCAGCATAAATTTACAAGAAAGTTGACGATATACTTTCTTTTCTCCTTGCTTTGAAGATTCAGAGTTTTGCAATTTGAATTCCCGTTTTTGTGGATACGTTTTTAGTTGATGTTTTTAAAATGTACAGGTATACAGCAGTGCCTTGGAGCTTGTTCGTTCGATGGTCGGTATTTAGTCTTTGAACTATATTTTTTAGGCTTATTCCCTTTTAAATTGTTTGAATCTTGTTAATTCACAAAGAAATGTAATGGAAAGTGATATCGTGCTCAACTTATAAGAAGCGTGATTAATTAAAAAATCTTCGACAGCTACCATTGCCCCATCTTAAAGATGGGTATCTGACTGCACCACCAGTAGGAAACACAACTGCAGCTCATTATGATTGGAGGATAACAGAGTTCGTTTTGGATCATGAAGCATTTCAACTGGTAAAAAGCCTGATTGGTCTTATTCATTGTCCATGGTAGATAAATATCAGGTTCAATTTCCTTTTTTTGCCCGAGAATGGGGATTGATTTCCATTTCCTTCCTCCACATCGCTATCTTCTATTTTCCGATCGAGCAGGTCGTCAAAGTCGAGGAGAAACAAGTTTCCCGAAGCCTCCCCGTAAGAATTGCGGATGAAGCAACTGAAGAGAAAACAAGTATCAGAGTTGATATTCCAGATATTGTGTCTGTATCAGCATGTGCTGATCTGACTCTACCACCAGGTGCAGGCCTCTGCATTGATACCATCCATGGTCCAGTCTTCCTGGTAAGTCTCATGCTTTATATTTTCATTCTAAAAAGTTCTTAAATCTTATTGTCGAAACGATTTTTAAGTGTAAGCGAGATTTTGGAAAACTGCGTCAATTTTAATTATTCTCTTTACGATTGATTTTTAATTAAAAACAATGCGATTTAAAAAACCTCTCGTTCGAAAAATTTAGGATTTCTTTTACGATAAAAACGGTTCGAGGAGTCGCCACCAATCTTTGATTAAGGTGTGATTGGACACCCAAAAATGTTTTGCAATTTTAAATAAAAAATTAATTTTAATTAAAATAACAAATTTAGGTATGCGTTACCAAAATTCGAGTTCGGGAGTCGGTTACGTGTGAGGAATGATTAGCACCCCACAACGCTCTAAATCGGTACCTAGTCGATTAATTAGTGTCTTTGCAATGAAATTTACAAGTTCGATTTTAATTTGATTTATGATCCCCAACAAAACAATAACATACAAATTTTACCATACTTAAAAGCACAAAAATTGATTAAGTTAAAATTACCAACCATTAGAAAGATAAAGGATATTCGATTATTTATAAATATCGAGACCATATCTTAAATAGTTATAACAACCTTTTCTCGATAAATTTAAATAGTCGAACATTTCTTTATCTTCCATTCCCAAATTTTAAAGTAATAAATCAATTTCTTAGGTGTCATTGATGGGATACACTGTTAATTTAAAAGCTTTAGAAGCGGACCTCTAATAGTTAAGACATCCCACTTAAACGAATTTAAATTAAAAGGATATTACCCTTAGTCAAATTATGTAATAATGTCGAGTTATGCTCATGAGGATACCATGCATATTATGCAAAAGGATGTCATGCAAAGATCAATTAAAAAAAGATATTACATAGCCTAAAATAAAGTAGGTGATATGATACATACACATGCATACAACGACATTGACATACATTAGAATTATACAATAAAACATACTATTAATAACTCGATTTCATATTCAAAATAACCATGAAGGACCAAAATAAAATAAAATAAAGATAGGCATGCAAAAATGTAAATCTAACAATAAACTAAATGAACATGCCATAGGTCCAAAGTGTAAAGAAAATAAACAGTAGGCCTTTTCCATAAAAATTTCATTTCTAGGCACCTAAAACCTAATATAACCCAAGTGCTACATAGGACCAAAATGCAAGTTCCCAAAATTACATATCAAATGTAAAAATATAAGCAAAATAGCCCAACACAACACTGGACTGAATGAAACACGGAGAAAATTAAGAGACAACATTAATATACCAACAAAGCTCGATTTAGGGATCAAGACGATACGATTCAAAGCTGCGAGGACCTATATAGCTATTACCCCAACTTCTAAAACGCGGTTCATCTCCCCCAGACAACAACACGCTGCCGTTTTGACCCTCTGGAACGACCCGTTTTGGTATACAAATATATGGGATACTAGGGTAAATTTCCTAACCCTAATTCATTCTTCCTCTCAACCTAAACCAGGTAAACTCTCCCCCCGCCATTTTCCTTATCTCTCCCTTTCTCTCTCACCCTTCCCATTTGTAACAGAACCCCCAAGCCTCCATGGCTCCCGTCGCCGATTTGCTCTCATAACTCGACCATGACAGCCACCGCGGCTGCCGCCTCTCTTATTTCAACTCACCCCAAAACCAACGCAAATATATGGGATACTAGGGTAATTTCCTAACCCTAATTCATTCTTCCTCTCAACCTAAACCAGGTAAACTCTCCCCCGCCATTTTCCATCTCCCTTTCTCTCTCCCCTTCCCATTTGTAACAGAACCCCCAAGCCTCCATGGCTCCCGTCGCCGATTTGCTCTCATAACTCGACCATGGCAGCCACCGCGGCTGCCGCCTCTCTTATTTCAACTCACCCCAAAACCAACGACCTAAACACCAAACAGAAAACCCACTGCTAACCTAGATGAATAAACTGTTTAACAACCACATCACCACCATCTACAGCCTCCGACGAAGAGCCGAACCCTTACTAGACTCACGACCCCAAAAACCTAAGATCTATCACCAGACTCAACCCCTCGAAACCCACACAGAAACAACAGAGGAAATGGTGGCACCCACAGTAACCCAACGGGGCTCAGGTTTCAAACGGCCACGATGGTTCCTCTCTTCAACTCTGGAAGGTAAGGATTTTTAGCCTAGTCCCTCTTCTCTCCATTTTTTGTTGCTGTGTGTACTCTTTAGAAAACAGGGATACTCCCTACTTGCCCTCGGTTTGACTCTAATTTTAGGTACTCGGATTTTCTTTTCCTTTTTTTTGTTTTGCTATTTTTTTCTTTGATTACCCGTTCTTGTTCATGGGCGTTAGATCTCTCCCTCTCTTTTTTCGTCTTCTGATAGCTAGTAATCATTTTGTCATCACCCCATGATCCCTGTGTTCTGTGCTCCTCGTTAATTGCTTGGTCTTGAATTGTGTGGTCGTTGTTTTTGATGCTGCAGAGCATGGGTGGCATAACCATGTCTCGGTCTTCACGGGCGTGGTCTGCTGTCGTGGAGCAGGGTGCAAGAGCTGTTGCTCGTGGGAACGGTGAAGCATGAGTTGCTGCTCCGTTGGGAACGGTGAAGCACGGGTAACAAAAGAGGTGTCTTCACGTGGGCTGTTGGTGGAGGCATGGAAGATGCTTGGGGAATAGCACATCATGGGTGCTGGGTATGCTGAACAGCGTCAGGTTTTGTAATCTGGATCCGGGTTGTAACCGGGTTGGGCTTGTAATTAAATTGGTTTGTAATTGGGCTTTAGGCATTTAATCTGGATTTGAATTTGGTCTTTAATTTATATCTTGAATTCCAAAGTGAAATGAATATGGTTACGATCCAATTAAGCACCTAAAATTTCCAAATGCAAGCTTCCACGATTTACCACTTGAATTAGTTCATTATTGAGCACAAAATCTCCAAATAAATTTCCGATCATCTTCATATGAATTCAAATGACCCGGATAAAATTAGGGTATTACATCTGCCCCTCTTTGCTCGTTGTTGTGAACACAAAAACGTGGCAAAGACAAAAATAATGACCTAATTTTGTCTAATTGCAACGTCATTTCCCTTTCTTCAGTCTTCTTCTTGACCTTCGCTTCCATCTCACGTACACAAGCCCTTTTAATGGATTGTTCTGCTTCTTCGTACCCGAGAATCTTCGATTTCCTCCCACATCAAATGATCTGAAGGTTTGCTCCAACATTATTATGAAAAAGGCTAAAAATGGCTCGGATGCCTTATTATCCTTGTGAAAACATCCTGCCCGAAGGTCTTATGGATGGCTTGAAGGACTTATCATCCTGCTCTAAAGGCTTACGGATGACCCGAAGGATTTAAGCACCATGCTCAAAAGACTTACTGATGGCCTGAAGGACTTACAAATCGTGAAATTTTGAAACTCGCATTCTTTGTTTTCAAAAATTTCATCTTCTTAAAACATAATTTTTTCATTTTCAAATTCTTGTGAAAACATCCTACCCGAAGGTCTTATGGATGGTCCGAAGGACTTATCATCCTACTCTAAAGGCTTACGGATGACCCGAAGGATTTAAGCATCATGCTCAAAAGACTTATTGATGGCCCGAAGGACTTACAAATCGTGAAATTTTGAAAATCGCATTCTTTGTTTTCAAACATTTCATCTTCTTAAAACATCATTTTTTTTCATTTTCAAATTCTTGTGAGAACATCCTACCTGAAGGTTTTATGGATGGCCCGAATGACTTATCATCTTGCTCTAAAGGCTTACAGATGACCCGAAGGATTTAAGCATTATGCTCGAAAGACTTACTGATGGCCCGAAGGACTTATAAATTATGAAAATTTGAAAATCGCATTCTTCGTTTTCAAAAATTCCATCTTCTTAAAACACCATTTTTCATTTTCAAATTAATGTGAAAACATCCTACCCGAAGGTCTTATGGATGGCCCGAAGGACTTATCATCTTGCTCTAAAGACTTACAGATGACCCGAAGGACTTATCATCTTGATCTAAAGACTTACAGATGACCCGAATGATTTAAGCATCATGCTCGAAAGACTTACTGATGGCCCGAAGGACTTATAAATTGTGAAATTTTGAAAATCACATTCTTTGTTTTCAAAAATTTTATCTTCTTAAAACATCATTTTTCATTTTCAAATTAATGTGAAAACATCCTACCCAAAGGTCTTATGGATGGTCTGAAGGACTTATCATCTTGCTCTAAAGACTTACAGATGACCCGAATGATTTAAGCATCATGCTCGAAAGACTTACTGATGGCCCGAAGGACTTACAAATCGTGAAATTTTGAAAATCGTATTCTTTGTTTTCAAAAATTCCATCTTCTTAAAACATCATTTTTCATTTTTAATTCATTTGAAAACATCCTACCCGAAGGTCTTATGGATGGCCCGAATGACTTATCATCCTACTCTAAAGGCTTACGGATGACCCGAAAGATTTAAGCATCATGCTCGAAAGACTTACTGATGGCCCGAAGGACTTACAAATCGTGAAATTTTGAAAATCGTATTCTTTGTTTTCAAAAATTCCATCTTCTTAAAACATCATTTTTCATTTTTAAATTCATTTGAAAACATCCTACCCGAAGGTCTTATGGATGGCCCGAAGGACTTATCATCCTACTCTAAAGGCTTACGGATGACCCGAAGGATTTAAGCATCATGCTCGAAAGACTTACTGATGGCCCGAAGGACTTATAAATTGTGAAATTTTGAAAATCGCATTCTTTGTTTTCAAAAATTCCATCTTCTTAAAACATCATTTTTCATTTTTAAATTCATTTGAAAATATCCTACCCGAAGGTCTTATGGATGGCCCGAAGGACTTATCATCCTACTCTAAAGGCTTACGGATGACCCGAAGGATTTAAGCATCATGCTCAAAAGACTTACTGATGGCTCGAAAGACTTACAAATCGTGAAATTTTGAAAATCGCATTCTTCGTTTTCAAAAATTCCAACATCATTTTTTCATTTTCAAATTCTTGTGAAAACATCCTACCTAAAGGTTTTAT